TTGTTTTTCTTCATTTTTTTTGTGTGAAAATTTTTAAAAAGTCTCTTTTTTCCCCCCCAATGAGGAGTAAAACCAAATTTCAAAATCTCAAATTTTTTTGAAAAATTGAATTCAGTTTCCAGCCAACCACAGTTGGGAGTGACATCCTAAGTGCCTTAAAAAAAGAGGCAAAGGACAAACGATCCCCCTGACTCACTGCATTGCCACAAAATCCATTGTGATAATTCAAATTTTGGGTTTATGACAACTCATTTAAGTGTGAGGTTATCAGTTTTACCAAAACCATGCAGGCAGAATCCTACCTCAAGTAAATCAGTATGGCTATATTGTGTCAGTCTCCCCTCTAGGAAAATACAGCCATCCATGCTGATGCATTTATAGAAAATTTGAGGAAAGAATACAGTGTGTCTGGCACAGTATCTGAATCAAATCTCTGACTCTCTTGAGAACAGCACAAAAGAACCCAACTTCATGATTGAATCTGAGAATGCCAGCTGGCAGCCTCAGTAGAGGGCTATTAATGCTCCTCATTTTAAACAGTAAAATACACAAACAATACAAAATAAAAAATGATCACAGGATCAAGAGAAGTACAGTTAAGGTTCTTTTGGCCTTTGTGTTATAAATTCCTAATGGCTTATAATGCAGCTGTACACATCTCATCTAAGCAGTTCTACGGAGTTCCATCAATGAAATGTTTACATTTGCTCCATGCTAAAACTTTGCATGTCCCATCTCAGGCCAGGAACAAGTTATCAGTGTTTTTTCAGTACTGAAGTTGCAATAGGGAGGCAGAGGAAGAAAGGTATTCCAAAACTTGCTTTCAGACATTCAGAGAACTTTCTATAGTTTTTACTAGATAGGACCTTCTTTGCCCTGTGCTGACTGGGCATCTGCTCCAACCTTCTCTCTCCCAGTCTCTTCACCTCTGTTTCACTCCACATCTGCCACTCTGCTCTACCATCCAGCCCTGCTCAATCCCTTTCCTCTTTTCCTTCCGTTTAACTGATCCTCTCTGCCCCCTCCCCAAAATTGTGAAACTAATTTGATGTTTGCTGTCATTACATTTTCCAGAGTAACATCCGTTAGTCTGTATTCGCAAAAAGAAAAGGAGTACTTGTGGCACCTTAGAGACTAACCATGAAGTGAGCTGTAGCTCACGAAAGCTTATGCTCAGATAAATTGGTTAGTCTCTAAGGTGCCACAAGTACTCCTTTTCTTTTTTCATTACATTGTTCACATTGATTTTTTGTTACACCCCTTTCCCCACGCTGTCTGTCTTGTCTATTCAGACTTTAAACTTTCTACTACTGTTTGTACAGTGCCTAGCACTATGGGACCCCATTCTTGGTGGATCTCTAGGAACTACCATAATAAACATTATCAATAATAATACATAATACTAGTTTGGGGATCTTTTTGCACACCTCCTGTATAACTTCAAAATGGAACCTCTACAGCTAATAAATCCAGGATCTGGATTAGTGCCTTCATTTGTAGTTCTGGGAAAATAAAACTGAAAAAGACATTTAATTTAAAATAATGACTACTGTCACTCGTTTTTAACAGCATTTTGTAAGACTGTTTAGTGTAATATCTTAGTGCACATGTGAAACAGCTGCACTGACACAATGGACTGCAGCCGTTCTTACTGTCCCCATAATCCACATATTAAAGAGTCCCTAAGTACTCATTGATGCAACAGACCATAACAACTCCCTCGGAACTGTTACAGTTTATCAGGTCAGCAATCTACATATTAAGAATTCCCTAAGTACTCATTGACAAGTAGTGTCTCTACACTTGTACAAAGATCATAATTGCTTCACAGGAACCATTAAATTCCAGTGGAAAAAATGAATGAATTTAAATAACCAAGATTACACTACAATGCTTGCAAAGGTCTGACAAGTCTGCAAGAATAGGACAGTTAAGCTGAAATGCCATCCTTAATTGATACTGTGTACTAAGGTACTGCAGTGGGTTAAAATTTTCCACACTCGTGCTCTGCAAATCAGAATTACCACCTTTCTGTTAGGCAAAAAGTGAGTAAAACCCACCTTTGACCTTTCAAGTAAACCCCACGTCTAGGAAGGTGGTATCAATAACCAAGATGCTTAGGGAAGCTTTCCAGATGGCTCCTCGAGTGAGTTGCTGGCTAGCTACCTCCTTTCATTCCCCTATTTAATCACTCCATTTTCTTGCAATCCTCTTTTCCCCTTCGTGTCACCCACTAACTATTTATCCACTCACTTTCAGTTCTCCTTCTCTTCTTCTGCTCCTCTACAGTATCAAACCCCAGCAAAGTTCTTCCTCTTGCCACCTCTTTTCCTTGTCTCTCCTTACCCCAGTGCTTAATTTGTAATGAAAGAGGTGCCACGGCTTAAGCAATTTTTTTTACTTTTGTCAGTGACATGGCAAGCCCAGAGGTGCCGGAGCTATGAACTGCCAAGCCTAGAGGTGCTGGGACTCAGTCCTGGCAAACTCTGGCACAAGTTAAACACTCTTTGATTTCAGTCTTCTCTTCTCATCTTATCCTCTTCCATTTTTCATGCAATATTCTCACACCATTAGGTCACAGAATCCTTTGTGCTGGAAAGAACCTGCAGTTATTCATCTTCTCCAACCCAGTGCTTCACACATTGAAGGACTGAGTCACTTTTTAGTCAGCACTCCTGCTTCCTGTTATGCCACATACCAAAGAAGAGCATGGGAGCACGTCAGGATCACTGAACAAGTGATTGGCTGTATGGGAACTACACAAACTGGGCTCCTACAATGAAGACAGGGATCTAGCATAGAAACCTGTTCCACCAAGCAAAACTAGCACATCCTGGGGACTTTTTCTGTGACAGACATGTGGCTGTCTGTGGAAGCCTCTTCAACTTGGTATAAGCAAAGGTACTTCACTGTAATCCATCAGGGCTGGCTTTGGTATTAATTTTAGATTGTGTGCACTGTTGCTTTTGTATTGTAAATTGAGCATAAGATTTATTGCCCACTTTAGGGCTTAATCAGCTACACTGCTTATTTATTGTACATGCTTTTCATAGTTTATTTATGTTAAGGCTACCAGGGCCTTCAGGCACAGAACCCATCAAGAAAAGGTCTCTATTCAAAACCAGGGAACTAGAGCAGGGGAGGAGGAAAGATAAAAATGTAAGTCCACATTTTTTAAATTTCAGGCTGTGATAACAGATGTAATACATGGTCACAATGAGATTATTAATCATCTAATTGCATACAGTGGCACCCAGAGGGTCCAGTCTGTTCTGGGCACTGTACAAACACAGAATAAGAGACAGGTCCTTTCCCAAAGGCAAACAAAATAGGCAGACAAAAATTAATAATCAAACAACACATACGAATGCCTCAAAAAGTACAGAATGTTACATTTCCCTACATCCCCATCCATTAATTTCCACAAACCAACCCTGTCCTCCCCCTCCTCTTTTTCATGTTATGCAAGCAGCCCAAAGTGCCCCCACCCCACTTATACCCTGTTCATTCCACAAAATAAGAGGCAAGTTCACTATGGGAAGAAAAAAAAAAAAGGCAAAAGCAATCTTCCTACTGCAGCCAAAACAGATGCCAGCTAAAGCTCAACATGGTGTAAAAAGGGCTATACATCTTTCCCCTAAGCCTCTCTTTCTCCTTCCTTTTTCATTCACTATGGACACCACCCCCACCTTCCCTCTCACTCTGGCCTGTAACTTGGGCATTTTATCTTCGTCCACACATCCTGGCAGTGTCAAAATCCTGCTGCTTCTTCCTGCACAATATCGCTAAGATCCAGCCTTTCCTCTACATCAATACAGCTAAAGCGCCCATCAAATCAGGCTTCATCTCATATCTGAACTACTGCAACCTCTTCTTCACCAGTCTTGACAAATCCTATCTAACTCTACTTATTCCCGGGCAGAATGCTGCTGCAAAGTTAACTTTCTTGAGCCATGTCCTCCCCAACTCCCAATACTTTGCATTCCTCCACTGGCTCCCTCTTTTCCACACACCATACACAAACTATTTGCCTTCACTTTAAAGGGCCCTCACAGCCTAACCCTGCCATATTTATCGTCTCTTTTACACTACTGAGATGTTACACTGCATCTGTTACACCAATGGTGCCAGTCTTGACTGCTCCTCTGTAAAATTTTCAAACCATCAACTTTGAGCTTTCTCCGATGCCAACCTTTATGCATGGGAGTAGCTCCCTGTGAAAATCCATAAAGCCATCTCACTGATCGCCAGCAGGTCCCTCCCTAAAAGTCTCCTCTGCCATAATGCCTACACAAACTTGACAATGGTTAGACAGCATGTTTGTGGTGTCTGTTGCTTATTATGTAGATCATACCATACACTTCCCTCATGTAAATTCCATGAAGAACATGTTAATAATATGAGGGAAAGAATACTCTAGTCAAAAAGCAGTTGTAAAATGAAGACCAAAAAGCAGCGGTATGTATAAAATAACAAATGGCATTTGTAATAGCAATAATTATAATAATTTGATCTGACACACTCTCACTAGTGATGGGCACTGGGGGATTTAACACTTAAAACAAAATCATAAACATTAAAAAAATAAAAAACAGCCAAAACCAAACCATCTCAAAAAGGGACAAAGACAAGTATAAAAAATGTCATCTTTACATATTTTTTTAATTGACTGTATTGGCTGAAGTCCAATATTTTCACAAGAATAAACTAGCTTTGCATAATATATATAGAAAATTAAGAACAGATGTTTTCCATCAACGTGAGGCAAACACACACACACAAAATTTGGCCTCTGAGGATAACCCCGCTCTTTATTTTACAGTTCTTTTCTATCTCCTACTGAATCAAAAAGGTATTGCTGGCATACAGAATTTTTTTTAAAACATATCCCTATTAAGAAGTCAGTGTCATAAAGCAAATAATGTAGTGTTTACAATACCGTCTTTTAGGTACTAAAGTAAAGTTTCCATGCTTTAGGATGTAAAATTTTGGAGTGTCACCTGAACATATGGCCTAACAGGTGTTGAAGAATGTGCAAACTGGAAAAAAAAAAAAAAAAAGGTAAGTGCAAAAGATGTAATTAGCATCAAGTGAGTTAGGAAAATTCATCACTTTTGTAGCCAGTTATCAAACATGCATTTCTTGCACATCTAATTTTTACAGTTTGAGCTCCATAAAAAGAAGTTTATAGAATGTGGAAAAAAAATCCCTTTCTACAGTATGGGCTCAGTAGACTGAGATATTTGTGAAGAAAATAATCCGAACATGAATCTATAGTCTATGTATGAAGAATCAAGTGTGTAGCAGAAAACCCAGGATATGATTCTATCATTTTACTTCAGGTTCCAGATATTCTGTTTTCCAGTATATAAAATATAGCCCCATATTATATCTACAACAGATTAGTTTACAATGGATGATTGCTAATGGGATTACATTTCTCATATGTCCAATGCATGACCTTTAAAAATCCTGTAATTATATTCTAAAGAAAATAAACTATTGATTGCCATATTGGGAATCGTATACAGTCAGGAAGGTAAGCCACTTATCTACAGTATATAGACTCACATTCTAGCTGTGCTGAACTTAATTTTGTAAAAATGGAAAATCTCTCTATCATTGATCGGAGTAAAACAGACCAAAAAAATCAGTTATGTCCCAACACTGAAGTGTCACAATGCAAATACTGCAACATCACAACATATCTTTACAAAATGACAAAATGTTAACACAGACGTCACACAACAAGCAATTGCAAGAGATGGCACTGGGATTTATTTTGTGTTTCTCTTCATCTCCATTAGATGTAGTACCTCCTCCTTATGGGAGGGCGGAGTATATCTTTCTTCTCTCCCTCTCACGGTTCACTGGAAGGAGCAGGGATGAATGCTGGTGGCCCTGTGACATTTTCTCGACATTAATGCATCACCATGGGTCAGCGTGAGCCATTGTGTGGAATGTTCCGTTACTGTGATAAGCACTCTGTTTGCTCTGCCTGAGATGATACTTGATCATACCCACAGACTCTCAGAGCCACCGCCTTAACAACCTGAATTGACAGAATATTCTGTTTTTGCAAAATGCATGTAGGGCATATCAAAATGACCCATATGGCGAACGGTTCCTTCAACTTGTATTTAAACATGCAATAAGGTTCAATAAGCCTCCTAACTGTAAAAAGAAAAGGAGTACTTGTGGCACCTTAGAGACTAACCAATTTAAAGGTGCCACAAATACTCCTTTTCTTTTTGCGAATACAGACTAACACGGCTGTTACTCTGAAACCTCTTAACTGTAAAGATTTATCTGATGTTTTCTCCCCCTCTCACCCCAACCATGAGTCAAATAACCCTAGTGTATATTTGATTCCTGCAAGCCACTTATCTTCAGTGGTCTTTATGTTTGATCATTTGTGCCTATGCAAAAACTGAAAAAGAACAGCAGCTGTATTCCTGTGGTTCAATTTGACCACAGTGGATCTTGTATCATGAATCATAAATATTCTTTCTGCTAATCCAACATCCCCTGAGACATTTTAGCCACTAAAAGGCCTGATTGACAAAGCCCTGGCAGGGATGGGGTCTCTTCCAACCCCAATCTTCTATGATTCTACGATAAAAGGAGTCTTTCCCCTTATATTTGATTTTCAGGATATGTATTTTTTCTAAGTAATGGATTTTAGGTTTGCAGAATTGTCTGACTGGAATGACACTCTCCCACACAAATTTTATCTTTATTTCATTCATGTGACTAGATGTATAGCTATGCCAATTTTTGAAAGGTGTTGAACTAGTGGAGTGTACAGGTCTGTGTTCTATTTGACTGTGCAGAATCTTGAAAATACAGAATTCTTTAATGCCAATCTCTGACAATAGGAAGTCTGCACAGGATTTTGAATATGGAGTCATCAATGTCCAGTGTTTAGGGTAGGGCTGTATGTAAACAATTTTCACTGCTTGCAAAAAACAAAAACAGAACTTTTGCACATCTCTGGTAACCAAGTCAGTGGGAAGTTTCACCTGAATGAGGGCTGCAAGACTGAGCTCCATATTTTAACTAATATTTGTCATACTTCATGATTATCAAGCCATGTTTAGTGCATGATGTTTTATTTTTTAACGATTGATATAATAGATGAAATGTTAGCAACATGAACAGGGCAGGGTGGGCAAGTATATTCTTCTTTTCAGAATTCATACATTCTTTTAAAAAATTACGGTTAAAGTCTGCCCTGTTGTTTCACCTCTAGAAGCAATCATTTGATTTTAAAAATGGATTTTACATTTTGCTTCTCTAATATAAAGGCATTGTAGTGATCACTTATTATTTGCACAAATGGTTCCTACCTATACAGCTATGAGACTCATTGTTCAAATGCATAAATACAGAAGTCAGCACGTTAACCTTTACATACCAGTAATTTGAAAAAGCAATCTGAAATATAAACAAGTCACCAAAACATTTTTACTCTTTACTTTCTATTTTTAAGAGCCTTCGCTAATTAAAATATTTTGAAAATGTAATTCTTTTTATTTTATTACATAAAAGTACTTTAGTTATAAGCATTGTATTTTTGAAAGACATACTAATATAAGTATTATCTTAGCCCTACCTTTATTTACTTTTACATAATTATCCTCATAAAAGATATAATTAAAGCATTATACAGCATTACCAATTCATATCTTCCTACGTTACTAAGTAATAAACACATCACATACAAAGTCAATAAACCTCCAAACAAATCCAACTAAGACCATTAAGAAACTTCCAGACCTCAAACTTCCATTTCCAAGCTACCAAGAGACAGAATTATAAAAACATTTATAAAGAATTTGATTTTTACCTCTTCCAGTTAAGATAAATATTGCCCTGATGTAGGCTCAAAAACTGGGTCCTTAAGCTCTCTGCAACCCGTAGATACAATATAATTTTTCCTGCATTATTCTGCTAAAACTATCGACTGCAGGTAAAAGTGAATTCAGTTCCCTTCCTGGAAAACATGTTCTTTTCTTTTTAGTTTTCTAACACAAGGAATACAAGGAAATAAATGATGATTCTTAAATATCACATTCATCATATATGACATTTGCTGGGCATTTAATGAAAGTACATGTTTTTAACCTGCAAATTTAGCCATGTTTGCGAAATGTGCTTTGGGGCCCATACAGCCCACAATTGCAACAGCAGTTGGGGAAGGCCACAGTGGGGAAACAGAAGAGGGGGTAAGTAAAATGGCACCTACAGACCTGTGGGTACAGAAGCATGGTATGGGGGCCAAGGCACAGAAAGGGATGGGGGATGAGCTGAAAATGGGGGCTGGACGAGAACGCCATCTACGGGCAAACTTGAGGTGTTAAGGGTGCTCCTTTGGAATTACAATACAGATGGGGCGTATTGTGGGATGGATTTATTTTGAGTTTAGAATCCCTATTATGGGGGAAAGAAGTCATGTAATGTCCAAAAATTTGAAGTCCTCAGTGGGAATGGGTCATTTTGTAAAGAAAAAGATTACACAAGAACTAAAGGAGAACAGGGTAGCAGGGCCATTCAGCCATTTAACTATATAGAATGTGCGAGTTTCTCCCCTAGGCTTAGTCCCTAAGAAGGCTTCAGCTGAGTATCACTTAATTCACCACCAGTCATACTCATTCAGTTAACAATGGAATAGACCCGGCATCCCTCTGACTTTATCCTTTCAGGTTTCTCTTTCGATGAAGTGAGCTGTAGCTCACGAAAGCTCATGCTCAAATAAATTGGTTAGTCTCTAAGGTGCCACAAGTACTCCTTTTCTTTTTGCGAATACAGACTAACATGGCTGTTACTCTGAAACCTATTTTATTTTGGTAAAGCTATGCCTATGGGATGTGCAATTTCCTATTCAGCATTTGAGAAATTTAACACAATGCTACACTGGGCAGTGATGCAGGAAGCTGATTTACAGCAGGTGGTGCATTACTTAGATGACTTCTTGTTTGCAGTGAGGGCGAATTTGGGAATGTGTTAACCTGATGGACACCTTTCAGGCCCCGTGTAAAAAACATGGAGGTTCTTTAGGGGAGGAAAAATGGAGGGTCCTTCCACTACCTTAACTTACTCAGAGATTGAGTTAGACACACGGATGGGTATATCTTGACTCCCTCAGGATAAGATTCAGGAAGGCTTGATTCGGAGAGGTAGAGCAGCCAAGAAAGTTATACTACATGAGCTGCAATCTATTATTGGGCATCTTAACTTTCCTTGTCGGGTGGTAGTCCCATGGCAGACATTTTGAGCCCAGTTTGCAGCTGTCACTGCAGGCATATCTAGACCTAATCATTTTATAAGAGTTACTAGAGAGATGGAAGAGGATTAGATGATATCGGAACAGTTTCTGAGCCATTTTAATGGAGTGTCATCATGAAGGGGTGGAATGGATACTCAAGACTGATTTAAAGATCCACTCCCGAGGCTGCTTCAGGAGGTATGGGTTGTGGGGTATTTTACCAAGGCAGGTGGTGCACCCAGAAATGGCCCTCCACCTGGATACAAAAAGGGACAGTGCAGAATACAACATTTCTGGATTTCCCCCCACACCCTATTTTGGTGGCAGTGATCATTTGGGGAATGGAGTTTGCTAATAGAAGGGTGTGTTTCTGGTGTGACAACATGGCAGTGATACATGTTATCAATCTTCAGTCCTCCAGATCACACAGGGTTATGAGGGTGGTGAGGGCATTTGACCTACAGTGTTTAAGTCTTAATATCTGTTTCTCTTCCAAACATGTGTCCAGGTTGATAATGGCATGGCAGATGCACTGTCTCATTTTCAGATGGACATACTCCAGGAGCTGGCACCAGGAACCAGCAAGGAACCTGAATGGATGTTGCTAGCATGATGGAACCTTGATGTATGATGGCTGTCAGCATAGCACAGAGATTGGTGACTCCATAAACACTTTGGAGCTATGAGGGAAGTTTTACTGATTCTGTGCAATTTCAAGAGCTGAAGGGCCTATCACTGATATGGCCAATTACAGAGGACCTGGGGGCTGGA